AATTTATTTTTATTTGTGATTATCTCTCTATTACGAATGTGGTGAAAGACTAGATATTGCCTTTCACCAATCTAAAGTATAAAATAGCTTCCCCCATATGAAATATGTAACAAATAATATCAACAACCAACAATGCCGTATTGAGAAAAGGTGTAAAGTGATGTGTAGACAAATGTGATCCGCTCAGGCGAAAGAAGACGACGACGAAACAGTGCAACTTTTATTGTTGTCATATAATTGATTAATTAATATTTGTCATAGCTTGTACTTTTTACTTTTGTTTTTGTTAAGATCAGTGTAGGAAAGGGTGTCTCCCACAACTACGTGACGATTGGGTTAAACGTGACATTCAATATACTCTATAATTTAAAAAAAGTGACGTCACATAAAACAATTTATGGTTAAATGTAATGAGAAAGATTTTAGATTCATAACACGTAAGGGAAATCCTCGGTTTAGGAAAAAAAATCACATTTAATTTTATCAGAAATGTAATTTCCAACTATCGCTGAACGCTTTGTTTTCTATTGTAAATGAATTCGGAAATTATTTTTAATTATAGTGTAAATGAGATCCTGTTTCATTGATGAAACCATATTTGGGAAATGCCATTTAATAAGGTTATTTTTCATGTAGTTTAAAATTATTATTTCTAGGAGGTCCTACGATCATATAATGTTCTCAAAAAGTTTTATGAAGAAAAATATTCCTATAGAGATTTTTTTCACGAGCTCGATATACCACAAGGGCAGGTCTATATTATTATGTACTTATGTACAATTGGCACAAAATTTTCAAAATTATATTAATCAAAATAAAATACGTGATATTGTTAAAGTCTGTTCATATAGCACAGTAATGTCTGTGAATAATAATGTGTTCGGGTTAATAAAGCAGACTGCAAGGTAAAAGTTGTTTGTCCCCATTGTTACCTTATCTAAATTAAGGTTTCAGTTGAACGATATAAAGCTCAAAAATGCCTCGAATATTCTAAAATTTATGCTAGGAATGCGTTAAGCTAAATCTGTTTTTTTTTTATTTGAAAAGCCCCAACTTGATTTCTGTCTTCTTAAGACACGGAATTTAAAATTATCAATTAAATTGACAATGAACTAAATGCAATGTAAAGTGCAAAGGATATTCTTTCAAATGACCAGTCGTTCCTAGTTCTCAGAACGTTATGTCTTGTACACTTGTTTGTAACATACTGGGCGATGAAGTATTTTCAGTATCCGGGTTCCCTCATGATAAGACTGGTGGCTATACATAGTGTCCTACCAAAACCAAAATTTAATCCGATAGCTATATAGACTCGATTAGCCAAGTTTGGGCGATCGCCATACCGAAAGGTAGTATTTTTAGTGTTACAAGCTCGTGGGAGAATCAGTTCATATCCCGACACCCATATGTAAAGTGCAGTACATTACCGTTGGAGTGGCTTTCACAAATTTCTATGAAATCATGCCTCAATATAATTAGGAATTTATGTTTGCACCTTGTTTATTTTTAATTTTGTACTAGCGGTATATATTCCTGATGTGTGTTCTGAAAATCTGATAAATGATAAATCAGTAATATATGTACTAACTAAACTATATTAAATATTAGGTTGGGGACAAAGAAATCCATTACTTGCATATAAACTATAGGATTTTATTGAGCCTGCTTCGAAATGTCCATTTGAAGTCCTGATCTCTATTTGCAAAAAAACTCTAGTAGTCGATATTCACGATCCTCATTAGATACCAATGTTCATACCCTACTCAACTATGTTGTAGACCCACCTTTAAGTATACCGATCGATATATCTCGACTTGCTGAGCCGATCTAGACATGTTTGTCCGTCCGTCTGTCCATTATAATTTGTAAATACGATACAGGCCACAGTTATGGACCAATCTTGCCGAAATTTAGCATGTAGAATGGGTTCGCCCGTATTATTTTTGGTGAAGATCGGTTAATATGTAGGGGATAAAATGGTCCAAATCCTTAATTTTTGTCGGTTTTTCTTATCGCTCCAGAAGCCGCAATTATGGCCCAAACATCTCGATTTTTTTACATGGAGAAGGGGATTGGGTCAATGAATACGTATCCCTGTTTTGATAAAGATCGGTCAATATTTAGGGGGACAAATGGACCCTGGAAAAATGACAAAATTTGTATTATTGACGTATATATTTACTCCTGGATTTTTTGTGTTTTTTTCGATTCAATCTATAGGCTACAATTATAAGCCGAACATCACAACACAACCCACGGTGAAGGGAATATGGGCAAATAATTAGAAGGGCTGTACTGAATATTGGTAATATTCGGAAAATATGTCAGTGTAAGGAAGAAGTGCTGTTGACCTCAAATCGGGCAAGAGAATGCAACTATCATGAAATATTACCCAGGCTCGAAATAAAAATCTCCGTCTATACTGCTCAGCTCATTGGTTTATCATTAAAGAAATTTTTCAATGCAAGAGAAAGATGATAATCGATTGGTGCTAAGCCCGTACTGTATGGTGGATGCATTAATACTTCCCAACCAAGCTCCCAAAGTTTCTGGCGAGTCACTGTAGATTGACCGTTTTTATCTTTTCTATCTTCAAATGGTCCAGTTGTTGATAGTAGATATCAAAATTTACCAGTTTGGTCATATGGAAGCGACTCATAACACATAATCCCCTTGCAGTTCCACCAAATGCATAGCAGAACCTTCCAGGCCGTTAGTCATGATTTGACCACCGTTTGAGGTGCTTCACCGCTATTTGACCACGATCGTTTTCACACAGAGTTATCGTATGTAATTCATTTCTTTTCTCCAGTCACCATCCGTTTAATAAATGGGTCTATCTCATTCCGTTTGACCAAGGCTTCGCAGATGTAAATTCGATCCATCCGTAAATTGTTGTGACACCCAAAAATCGAGCCTCTTTTTGCTTCTTCTTACTGTAAAGGGTTTAAAACAGTTTTTGGGTCGATTTTAAGCTCCTGGGCGATGTTACTACTTCTAACATGCCGGTCAACTTCGATCATTTCTCCAATGGATTTATTTTTCCCCAACCTAATATTTTCTTATTATTAAAAATAAAACAACTAAAGTTAATTTATTTGCATATAATGATTTTATATTATAGAAAGTTATCTGTTCGGGGTACGTTAGTATGTTGCAAAAACCCCGACCTGGTCGAACTTTTTTACCCTGGTCGAACTTTAATACACACCACAACCATGTGGTGTGTATTAAATTGTTCTTAAAAATGATAAGGTACTTCATATGTTGACAGGTTGTTTATTTGGGAAAATGAAAAACAATGTAAGCGAGCCCTTTAGGTAAGAGCTACGTAAATCTAAATAGAAAACTTTGTAGAAATAAGTTTTTTATTCCCCAGAAACCAGAATGCCACTTCATAGCACCGAAAATTTGTCGGGTCCCACATTATATGGGGGTTATGTCAAAAGATTGATCTAAATGGAAAAATTTCGACAAACAAAATTTTTTCAATTACAGCCACTTCGGTGAAAAAAAAATCTGCTAAAACATTAAAAGTTCGCGAATATGACGGAAATTTTATATAGAGGATATGTCCAAACATAAAAATGTTCTACCCTAATAATAACCAGAGAATGCGGCTAAAACCTTCAAAATACTAAGAATAGGTAGGTTCTTTAATATGAGCTAACCTTGACCTAGATTGATAACTGGATATGTGCCAGCCTCCCATTTTCAATAAGAAAATGTTCAACCCAGAAATCAACATACACACCACAGCAAATTTGGTTGAAAAACGTTAACTATATGGGGCTACCGATATAAGGGCCGATATATCCAATTCCAATACCAGACATCCTAGGAGAATAAGAAATTTATGTGCAACAGTTCAAAGTCTGTCTTCAATATTGCGAGCTATATCGTCATTTAATAAGACAGACGGACATGGCTAAACCGACATACAATTTTATTCTGTTGTTAAAATTAGGGCTGTTGTTCGATTAAAATTTTGACTCAAAGTGCCTATGGATCATTTTCGGGGCAAACAATTTAAAGTAGATTTAGCTACGTTGGTCCGTCTCTCTTGTTGTGATAACCCAATATTTTGCACCTTCATATTTTCTTCTAAACATATATCTACTTCGAAGAATTGGCCGTAGGTACAACTTTGATAGGGTGGAATAAGTATTGATCTCGCTCATAAATATATATTTCAGAAATAGTTCTGGAGGATCCCAAAGTTTTTTCTATTCGTTATATAATATACTGGTAGGTGGATTGTTGTATAATCCATTTTGAAAATTAAAACTACTTCATCGCGTCTCTGCATTTCCTTAAAAGCCTTGTGGGAATAGCAGCTAAACCATGTACAATGAAATTACTTGTTTCTTTTTGTTGTTTGTAATTACAAATAATGCACACATAAATCTCTGCCATCTAAATACCATGTTGTGGGTGAGGGTGTACGCATGTCGTTATATATCGTTCGCAATGACGCGTTTCGCTAGTTTAACATTTACAGTGGCGTAACCGTTCGTTTTTTTGCTTTTGTTAAACAAAAACAAACAACGCGACGGAACAAAAATAACGAAACAAACAATCTGCCAGCTTGTGAGCCAGCCAGCCCGCAGCGGCTCCGCCAGCACTACCAACAAAGCTTAAATCTACAGCTTGTCTTTTTGGAAAGTTGACGTTTGGGCCGCATTGTATAAATACGAGTGTTTGAACAATTTTGAAATTTAATTCAGTGCTCACTTTCGCTTGCAACGGTTCGTGAGTTGGTTTTTTGTAAACAATTCTGGAGAAACAATCATACTATTAAAACACACGATCACAACAACAACAACAAAAAATATATCTGCCAAAATCCGTGTAGAGGCTCAAAGCGTGTATCTGTAATTCAAATTCAATCTTTAGAAAAACACAACAACTAATTTACAAATCTCAAAAAACAACCCAATCTTAAAACTACAACAACTACAACGTCTATTTAAATCAAATTTATTTTCAACGTTATTCTAATTAAATAAACAAATAACAACAACAACCAAAATGAAATTCTTCATCAACGCCGTTGCTGTATTCTTGTTGGTAGCCTGCGTCTGTGCTGCTGCCACCGACAAAAAAGACACCAAAGAAGAAGCTCCTGCCGAGGCAACCATCAAAATCTACAAACGTTTGATTCCAGCTGATGTGCTTAGAGGTAGGTGATTCCCCCTCCAATACAATGAAACAAATTGTGGATAATATTAACTAACAAAAAAGAGACGTAGAAATTAACAGAGCCGAGAAATTGAAGAAAAGCTTTTCTCTCTCTCTCTTTCTCTATAATGTGAAACAAGTTTGGATTTTAAATATCGAAATATTTCTAGATGTTTTGATATTTATTTGAAATTGAAATTTGAAAACAAACTATGAATTAATTTTGTGTTCTAATGGTCATAACCATATTTAAAAAATATACAACAATTGGAACTGGATTTAAGCCACATTATAAACTATTCAAATATATGAAAAAATTAAATACCGGATTTGAGCAAACTTATAAATTATTAATAATTATTAACATAAAATCTGTACAAATCCATAAACACCTCTTAATTAAAAAAATCACAAAAGAATGGATTTAGGCTACTTTGTAAATTATTGATCGTTAACATCAACCTCATTCACAATCAACCTCTTAAAACATTCTCAAAACGTGCCACACCTTTGCCGCAAAAAAATTGGGACCACTTGCCGGCCGGTTGTTACTCTTTCAAAGAGTATTAATTATAATTTTTTGTTTAGCTATTTTCAATAAAATCGTGTTATCGACACACCTAATATTTAGATATTGGGTTTGGTTGTAAACGTTGGCTTTTTACACATAACCTGAACTTTAATCTCTTCATGTGGGATCGAACAACCCAAATCAAAGCAAACAAACAAAAAAAAATGTGGATTATACTGTTAACAATGGAGGTGAATATGACTTCATTGCAGAAACCATATCAGGATTTGTGAGTTAGACCGGTTTTTATGCGATCTGTGTTACGCTTTTTTGTGTCTAATAGCTAATTGTTGAGAGGAGAAGAAAGAAACCAAAAGCTATGCCTTTTTTTAGCTGAATATGGTAACTTGACAGCATCGTTGACGTGGAAATTTTTTCGTCTCTAATCCTAAACCACAACCAGTCTTGTTTGTTACGTTAACTACATGTTCGCTGGCACGGAATTTTATGGAATGAAATGGAACATTTACACAATTGAAGTCATTGGCAATTACTTAATGTGGGGGACATTACTTAATGGAATATGGAAGGAAAAAAAAACTTTGAACAAGAAATTTGAAATCGAAATTCATTAAATTTGAAAATTATAGGAAACTGTAACCAAATTTTAAATTAATGTTAGTAACTTGGTATTGGAAGGTCTGCCCATGAGGATGTGTGCTTCTTCTTAGAACTGGCTATCAACTATAGTTTAGCATAGGACAAACAGCCATTTGCGATTCAACTGGAATTCGAGTTGGAAATTTCAATTCTCTGCCCTCGAGATTTTTTCTACAAAAAATGTTGAAGCTTTTATGAATTTAAGTATAACTGCATTTTAAAGAAATATTCTGTCGACATAAGCGATAATATTTTAAAGACGATTTTTTCAAGGAACCACTATAAGCGGGGATATTTCTTTAAAGCTTATATTTATTTTAGAAATATTTTCAAGTTTTTACAAATTAAAATAAAAAGTAGCGATTTATGCGTGGATTTTTAAGAAATATATTGTCAGTGTCCGACATAAGCGAGAATATTTTAAAGAATGTTTTTTTCAAAGGATCACTATAAACGAGGATATTTTTTCAAAGCTTGTTTTTTTTAAATTTTTTTTTCAAATTTCAGCTTAATTTTTTATAAATGTCTATTGTCATGCGAATGCGAATAACCAACCTAATGTTTTTAGGAATATTATGTGCATCCCTAAAAAACTATAAGCGCATAATATTTTATAAAGGATCAACATAACCTAAAATTTTATTTAAAGAAAAAATGTTTCAAGGACCATCATGAGGGTATTCAAAAAATTGTACAAGGATGAAGAGAGCAAGGTATTTTAAGTTATTTTGTTCAAGGTCCCATATAGTCGTAGGAATTTTTTAAAGATCGGTATAATCGTAGAATTTTGGATGTATATATTTAAAAGCTCATCACTACGATGTATATCGTCTGCTATCTCTCCTGAAAAAACTTAAAATTGCCAATAACTCCAGAAATCTAATTCATTCAGGGTCTGACAGAAATTGGTATGAAATCCCATAAATTCGATAGAAATATAAATTTGCCATTTTTATACCCTCCACCAAAAGGTGGAGCAATACTCACCGGCAATATTCACCGGAGGCCCCACAAAGTATATATATATATATGTATTGTTGATGATTTTTATACCCTTCACCACACTGTGGTACAGGGTATTATGTCTTTGTGCATATGTTTGTAACAGGCAAAAATAATCGAGATAGACACATGGTTCCTTTTGAGAATATGCATAGAATCACTTTCTAAGTCGATTTATGCATGTCCGTCCGTCCGTCCGTCCGTCTGTCCGTCTGTCCGTCTGTCTGTCCATGTTAAATTGTAAACAAAGTACAGGTCGCATTTATTATCCGAATTGGATGAAATTTGGCATAGGTCACTTATTCGGCCCAAGGACGAACCCTATTGAAATTGGGAAAAATCGGTTCAGATTTAGATATAGCTCCCATATATATATTTAACCGATTTAATGTAAACGGTCCCTATATATCTTTCGATTTGCACGAAATTTGGTACAGCCTAATCATTTAGGTCTAGAATGATGTCTGCCAAATTTCGTGAAAATCGGTCCAGATTTAGATATAGCTCCCATATATAGTTTCGTCCGATTTCATGTAAATGGTGCCCCAAAGTCGCTATATATCCTTCGATTTGCACCAAATTTGGCATAACGTACTGAAGTGAGCCTAGAATTATGTCTGCCAAGTTTCGTGAAAATCGGTCCAGATTAAGATATAGCTCCCATATATAGTTTCGTTCGATTTCAGGTAAATGGTGCACCACAGTCCCTATATATCCTTCGATTTGCACGAAATTTGGCATAACGTATTGAATTGAGCCTAGAGTGATGTCTGCCAAGTTTTGAGAAAATCGGTTCAGATTTAGATATACCTCCCATATATAGTTTCGTCCGATTTCATGTAAATGGTGCCCCAAAGTCCCTATATATCTTTCGATTTGCACAAAATTTGGCATAACGTACTGAATTGAGCCTAGAGTTATGTCTGCCAAGTTTCGAGAAAATCGGCCCAGATTTAGATATAGCTCCCATATACAGTTTCGTCCGATTTCATGTAAATGGTGCACCAAAGTCCCTATATATCCTTTGATTTGTAAGAGATTTGACATAACGTACTGAATTAAGCCTAGAGTGATGTCTGCCAAGTTTCGAGAAAATCGGTTCAGATTTAGATATAGCTCCCATATATAGTTGCGTCCGATTTCATGTAAATGGTGCCCCAAAGTCCCTATATATCCTTCGATTTGCACCAAATTTGGCATAACGTACTGAATTGAGCCTAGAATTATGTCTGCCAAGTTTCGTGAAAATCGGTCCAGATTTCATGTAAATGGTGCCCCAAAGTCCCTATATATCCTTCGATTTGCACGAAATTTGGCATAACGTACTGAATTGAGCCTAGAATTATGTCTGCCAAGTTTCGTGAAAATCGGTCCAGATTAAGATATAGCTCCCATATATATTTTCGTCCGATTTCATGTAAATGGTGCACCAAAGTCCCTATATATCCTTCGATTTGCACGAAATTAGGCATAACGTACTGAATTGAGCCTAGAGTGATGTCTGCCAAGTTTCGAGAAAATCGGTCCAGATTTCTATATAGCTCCCATATATAGTTTCATAACGTACTGAATTGAGCCTAGAGTGATGTCTGCCAAGTTTCGAGAAAATCGGTCCAGATTTCTATATAGCTCCCAAAGTCCCTATATATCCTTCGATTTGCACAAAATTTGGCATAACGTACTGAAATGAGCCAAGAGTGATGTCTGCCAAGTTTCGAGAAAATCGGTCTAGATTTCTATATAGCTCCCATATATAGTTTCGTCCGTTTTCATGTAAATGGTGCACCAAAGTCGCTATATATCTTTCAATTTGCACGAAATTTGGCATAACGTACTGAATTGAGCCTAGAGTTATGTCTGCTTTTTTCGTGAAAATCGGTCCAGATTATTTTGTTCCTATCAGCCAATAGGTTGATAGGAACAAAACTTTCTGAAATTAGAACAACCTAACCTGTGACAAGTTTTTTTTCAAATCGCTTAATATTTGGATAGAACTTCCATATATATTTTCCCCTGGTTTCAAGTAAATTGGGCATCAAACTCCTCATGTTAGTCAGATTGACATCAAATTTTGCACAACTTACAAAATTGAGCATAGAATTACGCAGTTGCGTTTTCTAGAAGTACAGACATAGCCCAACGGATGACCTATTTATATTTGTTTGAAGTCGGTTTACATACTTTATGGATATATCTAGGTAGACATTTAGATAAATATCACATATTTTATTTCATCCAATTTCATGTTGATAGTCCTGTTTAATATACCCATAGTGGTGAAGGGTATCATATAGTCGGCCCCGTCCGACTTTACTGCTTTCCTTACTGGTTGTTATTTTGAATTTTGACTTGTAAGGGCAGTGATAATTTAAAAGTAATTTTTAAGTGATTATTTATACTCTTTCTAAGTTTCTGCAATGAAAAGGAAAGCCAGGAGAAGAACCTACGTACCCACCATTAGGCGACGCGTTTCGCCGTTGATTTTGGGCTAATCAGGCATATTGGGCTATGTGGCTTTACAAAGGTCGTACGTTGATAACTTGTATTTTTTCCGCCCTGATGCGAAACATGAATATGCCAATTAAATTTAAATTTGTCAAAGTTCGACATTTGTCTTCATTCTGAGAATAAAATTCGATGTCGATTTACACATGACCATCTGTCTGCTGCATGTCTGTCCGTCTGTTGAAATCACGATAGAGATAGCTATATTTAAGATAGAGCTCCGAAAGTTTGCACAAAAATTTCTAGTACTCCTAGGATGTTTGTTATTGCAAATGGAATATATCGGTCCAAGTTTTAGGGTAGCCCCCATATATCGGTACCCCCCAATATTCGCTATTTTGGACACGTTTTGCAACCGAATTTGGTACTTTGAGTTAACATTGAATAAGACATATTCGTACCAAAAATTATTAATATTGACCCAAGTTTCAGGATAGCCCCCAAATATTCGGTATTTTTGGGCACGCTTTCCTACCAAATTGACTGTAATTTGGTATTTTGGGTTCAGCTTGAAGAACACATATTTCTACTAAAAATTATTAATATTGACACAAAATCTAGAGCAGCTCCATATAATAGTACATCCCTATATTCGGTATTTTTGGGGATTTTAGGCACGCTTTCCAACCAACTTGACAGTAATATTGAATTTTGGGTACTCATTTTATAGCACATTTTCATACTAAAAAAATGTTAATATTGACCAACGTTTAAGATTAGCCTCCATGATATGGTATTCCGCAATATGGGGATTTTTTACTCGTTTTCCCATCTATTTGGCTATAATTGGGTATTTTGGTTTCTCACCACATCTCCGCATTAAAAATTATGAATATTGACCCATGTCGGTATTTTGAGAACTTTGAACACGTTTTTTAACCGAATTGGCGGTATTTTGGTATTTAGAGTTCTCTCTTCTATTCAAAATTTTGTGCAAGTTATTCAACGGAATTAGTTCTAATTCTATATTTTGAGTACTCAACTTTCCTCCCCAAAAATGACCCATACGCAGTTCACATTTTGGCATATTACCCCTTTAACAATGCACCATTTTTTTTGTGGATTTCAACCCAATTGACTGCACTTTATTATTGATTGGTAAATCCTCCTACCAAAAAATATAAATATCGGTCAATTTTTGTATATAGCCCACATATAAAAATCCAGGTTTTTTTTGGTTGGGCGCTATATTCTCTCCTACCAAATAATATAAATATCGATCGATCTTTGCGTCTAGCCCTCATATAAAAGTCCAAGTTTTTATGGTGCTATGGGGTATTATCCAACCAATTTAAATATAATTTTGCATTACGAAATGGCATTCCGGCATCTTGGTGGCTAAACACCTTTTCACAGAACATTTTCAATTTAAGTCTAAATTTTGTATATAGCCCTAATCTTTGGTACTTTCCGCTGACTTTTAATCTCAGTTTTCAATATCTAGAAATACGTTAGCAGTCAATATAATTCTCATTGAGGTGGGAACAATTTCATTGACAAAAAAAATCCCCCAAAATGTGCCAAAAATTTCTCCGATCTTATTACTAATATTCTTTATTTGTTTATTTCAATTTATTGAATTACCATAAAATTGGTATATCACAGAAATATTTGGTTCGAAAATGCCAAATATTCAGACATAAAAATTCAATGGCTATTCATACGTTAGCAGTCAGTATACTTCTCATTGATTTAGTGAATAAATTCATTAACAAAAAAAAAAAAAAACCCAAATTTGCTAAAAATTTCATCGACCTATATCTTATTAATATTTATTTGTTTATTTTAATTTTTTTTTAATTACCATAACATTTTATGTAAAAGGAAAAAAATCGAAAATGGCAAATATTCAGACATAAATAGTTATTTGTTATTCTAAATAAAATGTATACAAGATTTCAAATATTGAATTTGATTTAATTAAAATATGCCGAAATTTTGAAATATCATTCGAAAATGTATAATATTCGTATGCATTTACACACAAACTGGGATAAAGCTAAAATAAAAATAAAATTTCAATACTGCCTTATACGTTTCATCAGTAATACTTTTTCAAAAAAAAAAAAAAAAAAAAATCAACAAATTTACATTTTCTCCTTTACATATACAATATTTCATAGATATTATATACCATGTAAATCATTTTAAATGATTTCATGGTATTTTAATTAACATTTTAATCTTTCGTTTTTTACTTTTTTAAATATGTATTTTAATTAAGGCACAGACAGCATTGCTGTGTTCAAGCAAACCGTATCCACCTTAGCCAAATGTGGATTATGTATTTCTCAAAAACAAATCACCATTACCTTGTTGAAATCGTACTAATTGAAATCTCAAAAAAAAACGAAAATAATACTCATAATTATCGAAGTGATGCAATTGGAGTAATTAATTAAACAACAACTTAGTTTAGTTAGTTGAAACAAGTTCCATTTGTGGCAAATGTGACGATGGCAATGCACCATCGCCACCACCATCACTACACACACACACTATTGCAACATTTTGCTGCAGCTTTTATAAAACATGCCTATCACAATTTTTCGTGCCATAATAAAAATAATAACAGCCTGTTTTTGTAAAATTCCAAACGAACGAATTCGAGTGGCTTACGACCAAACTCCTTGGTTTTGAAAAATATGTCATTTATTTTTGTTTTGAATCAGAAAATATTTATAAACATAAATAAAGGTTTGGTCGTAAGTCACTCGAATTCGTTCGTTTGGAATTTTAAAAAAACAGGCTGTAAATATCCACATTGACATAATTGGAACATTGGTTTGTGTTTTTGTAGCATTTCTGTAATTTATCGTAAATATCTTTTGACATATGGACATATTATTTACAACATTTTTGTTTTACGAACAAACAAAAAATTTCGAAATTTGTGTGTATTCGATGTAATGTGGATATGTGGTGGAGTTGGGTGTGTGGGGGGAAAAGTTAATGGGAATGGTCTGACCTATATGGAGCATAAGGAAATGAGGAGGGTAATTAGTCGTTAGGTTTTAAGTCATATATACAACCATATGATCCGTTTATTTTTAAAATAGTTTAAGGGGATCCCCCCTATTCTCTGGGTCAAAAATTGTTTTGATTTAATTCGAATCTACACTAATTCAAGATTGTCGCTACAAAATTACAAGTGAAAATCTCAAGAACTCTTGAAGATATAGCCGATTTATTGTGTAAGCATCTAGTGACGGCTAAAGGGCTTCTCAAACATTAAACGCGTTTTTCTCTTTTGCGAATGGCGGGCACGATAACTCAAAAACTAATAACCTAATCGATTCCAAATTTTTACACGTTTCTCTGTGAGTGTATAGCTATCGTATGAAATAGGATAAAGCAAATCGGAGAAGATCTTCCTTACTTTTTAACTTGGTCTTTGGTCAAAAATCGGCGATTTTCCAAAAGGTCCACCATTTTGTTAATTTTAGAGCGAAGTTAATATCCTAGTTCATACGCTTGGCACCATTTGAAATAAAATTCTGGCGTAACGTAGAATTTTTATAAAAAAATTTCAGTTTATTTAGATGCAGATGAATTTTTCGTAGTGGCTGAAATTGAATTCAGCAAAAAATCCGGAAACATTATCGGGGATTTTGGACAGACTTTTCGGCCTGACTTTTCTGTAATTTGGTATTTTGGGTTCTCACTGTATAACATATCTCTGTACCAAAATTTATTAATATTGACCCAAGTTTCAGGGTAGTCCCCTTGTAACTGTATATTAGGAATTTTGGATACGTTTTCCAACCGGACTGAATATAATTTAGTATTTTAGTTTTTAATTGAATAACACATATCCGTACCAAAAACTATTAATATTGACCCAATTTTTAGGGTAGCCCCTCCCAAGTTTCAGGGTAGCCCAGGGTAGCGGTACTCCCCAATACTCTTTTTTTTAACAATTTTTGATAGGTTTTTCAACAGAATTTTCTCACCTCTTACATATTTTAAATGTTATCCGGGCCGAACTTATTATCGTTTTACCTTGTTTTTACATATTCTTAAGTTTACCATGTCACCTGACTAATATATACCTAAAATCGGTATTTTTTTATTTTATGAAATTTTCCATCACCAATTCCAAAAAAGTCAAGTTCAACGTAATGCAAATGACTAACCTTTGTTTTTTGTTTATTTATTTTGTTTGTTTTTATTTTTCGATTTTTATTACCATCCCGCTTTGTGATATTAATTCAAGCGCAAAAATAGTGTCAGATTGTTGTTTGTAGATATTATTTGATACACCTGGTCCGATGCCGAGTCATATTATATGGTTCACATTGAAAGTGAAAGTTTTACGAGGCGTCAGTGATTTTAAATTCGGCATAACAAAATGTTGCAGGTGATTGACATCAGCGATCGGTTTGCATTTTACGTAAAATGCAAAACAGAACAAGTTTCACAAATAAATACTATCATTAAAAAAATTAATATTTTATTATGTGAATATTTGGCAGAGAAAATGCTGATGAATATGTAAACAACTGGTTATCGCATGGAATGACGTAGTTTATTACTTTATTCAATTCTAACTGTAAAGAAACTCATAAATTTTGCAGGGACTACAAAATTTAAATATTTGTTTTTTTAAATACTTTTTATTTTTTTAAAATATTTCTTATATTTATTTCCCTTTTGTTTAATTTCTTACAGATTTCCCCGGTATGTGCTTTGCTTCCACCCGCTGTGCCACAGTTGAAGTTGGCAAATCATGGGAATTGACACCATTCTGTGGTCGCTCAACTTGCGTACAAAATGAAGAAGATCCCTCAAAGTAAGTCGTAATTTATTAACGAAAATCACTTCAACGATTTATTATTATTATTTTTTCTGTCTTCTCCTTAGATTGTTGGAATTGGTTGAAGATTGTGGTCCATTGCCATTGGCCAATGATAAATGCAAATTGGACACTGAAAAGACCAACAAGACAGCTGCCTTCCCCTACTGCTGTCCCGTCTTCACCTGTGAACCTGGTGTAAAATTGGAATACCCTGAAGCTGTTAAGGAAACCAAGAAGGAATAAATTTATTTAAAAACACACTCTCAAATTATTTTTCTAAGCTAAATAAAAACAAACAATGTCTGTAAATAAACAATAATAAAACAAAACATACACACAACTCAACACAAAAATGCCGAAACAAAAATCCCAAACCATTACATTTAGGTAAATATTTTTTATTTTGTTTAATTTTACTCCATAAAAATTTTACACTCTATAAAAAACAGAATATACATCGTGATAACAACAGACTTTTTTGTATTAGTGTCCTAGTTTAGGATAATACTTTTTGTACATAACTCTCGTTTTATTTTTGTTTCTCTATTGTCCTCGATTTAAAAATTTGTTGTCATTAGCTACATTTTACATTAATAATTTAAAACATTCACCAAAATTAAACAATTTGCCCAACTCACATTCCATATCAATTAATCAAAAAAATCATTTTAGAAAAAAAATTTAAAAGTAATTCTAATTTCTATGTGATTAGATTGTGATTTTGAATTCAAATTGTAATACTGAAAAAAAAAACAAAAATGTTCGACAATAAAAAATTATGGTTTGTAAATTTAAAGTAATATTTTGCTCTTTAAATTTTATTAGGGAATTATTTATAGTGATGATACTTTACTTTTATTAGTCAGTCTAGAAAATAATATTTAGCATTTTAAGGGAACCCCCCCCCCCCCCCCCCATTCTCGGGGTCAAATTTTTTGTTGATTTAATTCGAATCTACACTAATTCAAGAATGCCCCTACAAAATTTCAAGTAAAAATCTCAAGAACTCTTGAAGATATAGCCGATTTATTGTGTCAGCATCAAGTGACGGCTGAAGGGCTTCTCAAACTTTAAACGCGTTTTCTCTAAACATTTTTTTGCGAATGGCGGGCACGATAACTCAAAAACTAATATCCCAATCGATTCCAAATTTTTACACGTTTCTCTGTGAGTGTATAGCTATCGTATGAACTCGGATAAAGCCAATCGGTGAAGATCTTCCTTATTTTTTAACTTGGGTTTTGGTAAAAAATCGGCGATTTTCCAAAAATATTTTTTCAAAGGTCCACCATTTTGTTAATTTTAGAGCGAAGTCAATAATCCTAGTTCATACGAGAGCCAGACATGTACCCTTTCTAACACCGTTGGAATTTTCGGATTCCGATGTTCCAGTGAGGAGTTATCATGCCCGCCATCAAAAATAAGGACTTTTCTTTAATTACAAAAAAAAAAAAACAATTACAAAATTTTTTTGTAAGTTATTTTTCTTCTCTTTTAAATCTTCAATTATATATGTGCAAAGTTACAAACCTGTACAAGCATTGGTATTGATTTACCAGCCCATTGAAAATCTTGAAAAAATAAAATCGTGAATGGGGGGGGGGGGGGTCCCTTAAATTGTCATATTTAATTTCAAATATATACTAGGAATCACTGAGAGGGGGAAATAAAAAGAACCTTTATGGAAAGTTCAAAAGTCGCAAGGGTATCATATAGTCGGCCCATAAGATATCCTTCACCACTTTGGTACATACAAGAGATACTCATATTTACAATATTCTGTAGATAGAATAGACAAAGAATCTTGACTTCAATCCAATACGCTATGCAATTTTTCATGTAAAGCAAAAAGAAATAGGATCCTCCATAAAATCGGACAAAAATATATGTAAAGCTATATCTACATCTGAAGCGATTTCAACAACAAAATATCGTGCAAATAGAACAAGAGCTATGGTGCAACATTTACATAAAATTGCCAACTAAAGTATATATGTGAGTTATATTAGGATCTGAACCAAATTCCAACAATACTATACACTATGCCAAACTTCGCATACATCAATCAGAACCTAATTCAGCGCTCTATGCTAAATTTTGTCTCAATCGGTCAAATATTGGCAGTATGCTGCTCCATATACATAAAATCGGGCGAAAATTTATATTGGAGCTATATCTAAATCTGAACCGATATCAACAAAACTTCACGAACGTCAATCTGTAGTAATTTCAATATGCAAAAATGTGTCTCAATCGGACAAACATTTACAGTATGCTTTTTCATTTACATAAAATCGACCGAAACTTTATATGTGAGCTATACTTAAATCTGAACCGATTCCAACAAAACTTTGCATCAGCACATAATTCAGTACTCTGTTCAAAATGGTCTCAATCGAACCAATATAGTGAGTTTATCACTTATATATGGGAGCTATGACTAAATCTGAACCGATTTTCTCGAATTTCAATAGGGTTCATCCTTGGACCAAATAAGTGATTTTTTGCAAAATTTTCCCAATTCAGATCATAAATGCGGCTTGTACTTTCTTTAAAATTTTATATGGACAAGGTTATAATTAAGGGTAAATTAAAACGATAGCTTCAGTATTACTACTAAAAATAGCAGTATAATTAATTCAAAATCAGCTTCGTCCAAATTCAATATAGCATCGATTTTTCGAACATTTTATACCACCCCTGTCCGAGGACATAATTGATCTGTGGCAAATTTCATCCAAATCGGATCATAAATGCGTCCTGTACTTTGCTCACAAAAATACATGACAATATTCGCACTCTCTTTTCCAATAAGAGGTCAACAACTCCTCTGCGGCATATTTTTAGAATCATGTATTCCCAGAATAAAAATATATTCCATGAAATATAAATTCTGTGATTTTGCACATAAAAGATTTGTTCCATCTGACCTACTAAATATTGACAGCCATTTGAATTAATTGATCATATGGCCTTCCCTATTGATAATATGTCATGTTCGGCTGATAAAAGTGTCTTCTAGAGCCACTAAAAACTCAGAAACAATAAGGTTTTGGTTCGAAATATTGACCGATTTTCATCAAAACAGTCATGCTTATTAATGGTCTCTCTGTGTAAAATATCGTGCTGTTCGGATCATAATTGTGGTCTCTAGAGCGGCTAGAAAAACATACAAAGAAGAGTTTTTGGTCTATTTCATCCCCTAAATATTAACCGATCCTTGCCAAAAATTCTGTTATTTTGCACATAAAAGATTTGTTCCATCTGATCTACTAAATATTGATAGCCATTTTAATTAGTTGATCCGATGGCCTTCCCTATTGAAAATATGTCATGTTCGGCTGATAAAAGTGTCTTCTAGAGCGACTAGAAACCCAGAAAAAATGAAGTTTTCGGTTCGAAATATTGACCGATTTTCATCAAAACAGTCATGCTTATTCATGGCCAGACCCTTTTCTCTGTGTAAAATATCGTGATGTTCGGGTGATAATTGTGGTCTCTAGAGCGGCTAGAAAAACAGACAATGAAGAGTTTTTTGTCCATTTCATCCCCTAAATAATAACCGATCATTACCAAAAACAATAGAGGTCTTCCTTGGCCAGACCCTTGGGGCGGGGTGGGATTTCAGTAGGGCACTTGAAGACGATCGGACCTTTAGTTGTTTAAGTAGTTTTGCTCGTGAAGCATTTAGGAGAAGGGCAGTACTTAGTGGAGGTGGTACATAGCCCCCTTGCAGTTGGGTGGTTTGGTTGCACCGGGTGGTGATGGGTAGGTGCACCGGGTGTCGGTGCTGGTCTTGGTGCGGTTATCGGCGGTTGTTTGGCAGTTGTAGGTGGTGTGCGGTCTGCCTGCGGTTGTATGTGCATCGTGGGTGGTTCGTGGTGTCCACTTCATGTGCTTCACTCGTCCTGTGGATGTGGTGTAGGCTGTCCGTGAGGGCAGTTTTGTTCATTGTTTGTGTTGTGATGTCCGATGCCGCGGTCCGTTGGGGCCCTTGGTGCAGTCCGTGAGGACAGCATGTTAATTGTTTGTGATTTGTGTATTTTTCACTGCTTGTGACCAGGTTTTTCCTTGCCACCTGCGGTTATCGTCGTTGCTTATTGTTGTTTTGGGATACCAGCCCGGACGTGTGTCAAACTGGAAGAGGCCTCGGTCTCGAGCCTGAGCGGAGGTTTTTCCGTACCGCGGGTGTCAGGTGCCCCTGGATCTGTTGATTCAGCCTGACAGTTGGTGTGGCCCCCTGCGGAGCTTCGCGGGGGGTTGTGGTCTCGCCCCTCACCAAGGGGGGGAGTGTGCCTTCTGCATGCTCTCCAATTGGTACAGTACTTCGATGCTGGAGCGCTGGTGGGCGCTTTTCCGCCTGTGGCTCAGCCACTGTGAGGTAGGCCTATTGGCAGGAACTCACATAAACTCTTCAAGATACTTGGCCAGAACCCTTCCTGCATCCAAATCTTCTTGACGATTGGTTCATAACTGTGTGCTGTATCGTACTAACAAATAATAATGCACAGACGTGTGGACGGACACACATGTCTAGATCGACTCAGCTAGGCGAGTCGAAAGGCGGGTCTATTTCGCGGCGTTACAAAACTTGGGGCCACACAAAACTGTAATATATATTTAACATTCATTGTGAAGATATTTAGCACTCCTAGACTGCCTGGAGTACAAAATTGAAGCCACTTCGATTTAAAAATTCAACATAGGACCATCAACAAACCTAAAATCGGTCGTGACATATAGACTTTGTCAAAAAATTATTTTTTTTACAAAGAAGTTGAGTACATACCAAGAACTTTTCGGTCGGAATAGCGCCTAGGCCCATTAAAATGCTCTAAAATTGGATGGAGGGATTCCATAGTAACGGATGTGTTTGTATATGTATATGTTATATCCACAAGGGGCCAGGAGTGTCAGTCAAACTTCAGATTTCCTATATCAAAACATTGACAAATACAGAAAATCTCGGAATGTCATCTAAATACCTATAAGGGGTGGGGCCTTACATAGGGACTATACCATAATGGGGACCTTGAAAATGTTATTCATGGAAAATTTATACAAAAATACTTTTTTATATATCAAGAATTCAGAATTCCAGCTTCGGTTAAAGAAGCTGAGAAAGACAGTCAAACTACAGCCACTACAGTTGGGAAATATGAATAGAACTATCAAAATACATAAAATGAGCTGGCATCTTCATATAGGTGCTATGTCAAGCCATTGACTAATACTGACAATCTACTACGATTACTC